AGTAGTAATACTTTATCGGTTGTAGTGATGATACAGCTCATATGCTTATCTGTTGAAGTGTTGATACAGCTCATATGCTTATCTGTTGTAGTATTGATATAGCTCATATGCTTATCTGTTGTAGTATTGATATAGCTCATATGCTTATCTGTTGTAGTATTGATATAGCTCATATGCTTATCTGTTGTAGTATTGATATAGCTCATATGCTTATCTGTTGTAGTATTGATATAGCTCATATGCTTATCTGTTGTAGTATTGATATAGCTCATATGCTTATCTGTTGTAGTATTGATATAGCTCATATGCTTATCTGTTGTAGTATTGATATAGCTCATATGCTTATCTGTTGTAGTAGTGATATAGCTCATATGCTTATCTATTGAAAAGTTTGTTTGATTTGATATAGCACTAAAATGTATATCATCATTGTTTGCGAAGTATGGGAGTAGTTTATGTGTTATTGGTACAACACCATAATGTGTATCCACCTTGGATTTCGAAAGTGTTCTAGTGATGAACTATAATCTCATCAAACGTTCTGGCCAGAGTACTGAGCCTTGTTTCCAAACTCAAAGTTGAACAAAAAAATGAAAAGTGAATTGTAACGTAGACTTGGCTGTCATGGTAACGTAGGGAGATGTAAATGGAAGTGTCAGTGTTGACCATCTATCAGTTGCTAAACTTTTAGTCATTGTTCATGGTTGGTTTAGTGTATTTCTACTGGGCTGTGGCTCACCCTATATGGGAATATCATTTTCAGGTACAGGTAGCATGCCACCTCCAAGGACGTAGCTTGGGAGGTCAGAGGCGGACCTTTTTGTTGTTTTACTTTTGATGTATTATTTGTAAATTCAAGCCAAGGGCTTAATATGTATTGAGTTAGCACTCTTTTTTTGTAACCAAGTGTTAACTTGGAAAGCTGTAAGCCCATAGGGCATTTGCTTTTGTTGTTAACATGTAATACTTTTGTAATGAAACTCTGATAAAATGGAAGAATGTGGAACTTTTACATATAAATGCATATCTTTATTGATGGGTTTAATGTTGTTTTTTTGAGGGCATTACAATATCCACCTTGAAATTATTTTACTTTTATTTGGATTTGGATAGAAAGAGAATATTCAAATAAGCTTCAAATTTAAAATTGTAATTGAAAAGGAATTTATTTTTTGTGTGTGTGTGCACGCTTTCCAATGGCCAAGGATAATAAAA